GTTAATAAGAATCATTATCCATTCATCTGGCCCTCTCCATGTTGTCATATTCTAGCATCTAATATGATCTCTCTGCAGAGACTCTTTGCCCAATCCCCTAGCAAACCAGCATTTTGAAACTCCAAACAGATCTTAATAATGTCTAAAATTTAGTGTGTTAACTGAATGTCAGATGCTATTCTAAATGTGTTATATAATTACTACTCATACATAAGTAAACAGAGTGATGACAGATAAACTAACTTTCAAAAACAAGTGGTAGTTTGAGATGACAAATATAACAGTGTAACTTCACAGTATACTTAAATCTCTCAATAAAATATCGGAGAAAGAAATAATAGAACTTTAGAAAAATAACCATGAATATAAGAATACTAGGAATCAATGATAAATTTTGAGCCTGGGTGAATGGATGATGCTATTTTAAAAACTGGGACTTGACTGTATATTTAATACAACAGTTGCATTTCTGTTTCCTGCTTTGCATGATTTCAAGTTTAAAGAAGATAAACTGCTATACTGCATGCTAGAGGTATTTTCCAAATAAGTAAGAGCTTCATTATTGGCTGCTAAAAAATATACCAAAAACAGCATATCCCTCTCTAGGACACCTTGGTAATGAACTACAATATTTGGAGGGCAGGGGAAGGCAGTTTCCTCATTCGCAAGGAAAGTACTAACAGAAAAATACTTCAATTGTGTCCCAAGAGTTCATTTTAATAGGATTTTCCAACATATAAACTGTGTGATTATCAGCAAACTCTCCAACTGTAAGTAACATTATCTGTCCATCCAGTTACCTAAGATAGAAAGCCAAAAATCAACAGAATCTACTCAGACATCAATATCCTCTGTTGAAAACATCCTAGTCAGATTGCCTTCATTTTTGCTGGATCACTATATTGGCTTCTTAAATGTTCTCCCTGCTTCTACTCTTTCACTTCAGTACTTCTCCCACCAACCATGTACTAAATATACTCAGCTATGCTGGGTTTAATGAAACAAGCTTATTTCTATGATGTAGCTATTGTACTTTGTATAGCTAATAACACTTTCTCTGAACTTTCTCTGCCGCCTTCTCATGTTTATGTTATTGTTCTAATTTAAAATACCGTCTTTCAAAGAGTTAAATAGGGTCTTATGTAAATAATTGGGAGGGGTACTGCCAAAGTTAGGGTTAGGGAAGAATTTTCCAGGACAGAAGACATTTAAACTGAGAGCTGAAGAATAAGTGTTATGAAATAAAACTAATCAGAATTGCTAAGCTACAGGTCTTTTACAATATTATTAAGGATTTGAATTTCATTCAGAGTATTATGGAAAGCCATTAGACTATTTTAAGCTGCAATAGTTATGTGATCTGATTTATATTTAAACAAAAGAAAAATAAAAATGAAAGTCTTGTGTTGTTTTTCTGAATAGTATGTTGTAGTGAGGAAAAGATTAAAGTAAGACCAATTAGGGTACTACATTAGTCCAAGGAGGGGGTTGCACACAGAATTGCCAAAAACTGACTAACCATCCTATAACTCATGCAAGTTAACTTGCTTCTTTGAAGTGCTTTCAAGACCACCCTCTGAGATCATATATCCATGGCAAAGACTTCAAGTCAATCCTAAGAACTCAGTGGGGTAAAAACAATTCTGAATCTAAATGAAATAAGATGCGCTTGGATACCAGTTGTCATGATATTGTCATATCATAAGGCAGCTATTCTCATGACCATTTATTAAATAAGCCATTCACTTATACTACTCAAAACTAAAAGCTGTTTAATTTAGGCCTCATTTTCTCTCATTATAAAAGAACTTGAAATCACTATGTAGAAAATACAACTGAAACATAAGAATTATAAGGGCTGGTGAAATATATATACGTTCAAAAATATGTTTATAGTAAATGCATATTGCCATTAATTCCAATCAAAATACTCCCTTTCACTTTGAATACACTTAGCCAATGGTTCTTGTCACTTCCTGAAGCACTTTTTGGTGTTCTGTTTTGTATCTCCACAAGGTGTGACAAAAAATATGGAGAGTTGCTAATACCATTTCACAAAAAGGTAGGCAGGAGGTCAAGGATTTAGCTCAGCAGCATAAGCACCTGCCTGTCAAGCATGAGGTTGTGAGTTTGATCCCCATTACAAAAAAAATCCAAAACAAATTAAAACAACAACAAACGGGTAGGCACATAGAAACATTACAGTATATTTTCTTCTACCTTATTCACTGGATTTGGCACTCTGGGACTTCTGGCTTCTATGAAATTCAAAATGACTTTGAAAGTTCAACATCTATTCACAAAAGAGGGCTTCTAGAACAGGTTCATAAAGTAGAAAGAACAATAGATAAGTGTGTTCCAAATAAGGGCAAGTCTTTTGCAGAGGTGTCTTCTATTGTAATATGTTAAAAAATTAAACAAATACCATATTTTTAAAATTGCATTTCATAAATAAAAGTAAATGATGACTCTTGTTATATCAGTTCAAGAACAGAGGCTAAGGGAGGAAGTGAAAATGTGTTGGCAAGTAAGGGAATTGAAAATGATCAAGATATGCTACATTCATGGACCAATTCCCTAAAATGAAGGAAACACTTTTTATTGCAAACATACACTAATTTACAAAAAAAGAGAATGAAATAAGAAAGACAGTCAGAACTTTACTATTGTAAAGCAATTTCCAACCTGTGAACATTTGGAATCTTCTAGAAGGATAAATGCTAGGATACATTGGAATTCAGGCCATAGGGTTCCAGACTAAAAAAAGTCACATGGAATCTCCTAGTCCAATTCCCTCAGTTTAGAGCTGGGGAAACCTGGGATCAAAGAGACAGGAAAACTTACATCAGAGAACACGATGACTTAGAAGCTTTGTGATTAGAACTTAGGTATTCTAAGCTCATTGTTTATTGTTTTTATCTTGATACATTGAAAACTTACATCAGAGAACACAATGACTTAGAAGCTTTGTGATTAGAACTTAGGTATTCTAAGCTCATTGTTTATTGTTTTTATCTTGATACATTCAAGGAGCATAATTTTAAAATCTAGAGAGGGATAATTCAAGTTAATATGACCTGATGTCTTTGTGAATGTGAGAGGAACAGATTTTAGTAAGGAAAGAACATCTAAACTCAAACTATGTGGATATATTATAAATGTATGCTAAAATTATGTACATTGTCTCTCATTAAAATGAGTTCATTCAACTGTCTTTAGATCTGCTATCAAGCTTTATAACCATTTGGAAAGTACAAGTTTGAAATTCATGCATCTCAACATTACATAAAGACAACCAAAATAGCATGTGCTTTTTAATACCATGAATCAGAAAGTACATACCACACTTTGTGATATGTTGTTGCTTAAAAGTGAACTTAAATCTGTTTAAACTTTCAGGCATAGTTATCCTTTCACAAGAATTGGGGGAAGCATCAAATATATTACACTTATACATGAAGATGTAATCAGGAAAATTCAAAACGTGGAAAACTAGACTGGACAAATTACTCAAGCTCTTCAACAAATACAATGAAAACAAATTAGAAGAGGGAAAATAAAAATTTAAAAGAGATCTAAAACAGATATTAACCAAATTCAAGGAATCATCCTTGTTTTTAGTGATTTGTAAAGCTTTTTAAAAAGGTTATTGGATGTTTTAGGAGATTTGATATTAAGTAATTTTGTGTGCTAATGATATTATTTTTAAAAATGTTAAAATATATGGAATGACTAAATTATAAAATTTTTAAAATTTGCTTCAAAGTAGTACAGCAGAGAATGGAAAATCAGTGAAAATGTAAACAAAACAAAATTGCGCATGTACTAATATAATTCTTGAAATTGAACTATGAGTACATTAATGGGAGTAAACTCGTCTGGTTTCTCATTGTGAAAATGTAAGTTTGAGTACTTAATAACATATTAAGTCTTGAAATCAGCACTCTTATGCATAGAAAAGAGGCAAACAGAAATATCTATAAGTACAAATATTGCCATGGTAATGTTGCAACAATGCAGCCTGAAAATCAATCACCTGTACTTAGCTTCAAAGCATAATCATGTGGTTTCTGAGAACTTCTCTGTGAAGTTTAAAAGATAAAATATAACATAGTAGATTTTAGGAGAAAAGAGGGCATCTTCTTTGACCATGGTGCCTAAATCTCAATTGTAAAATGGAGATCGCTGGGGTGGAGTTACCAAGGCAAAGTTACAGAATGGTGGCCAGTGAGTTGCATCTGCTTTCTAGGCAAGTTTCTTTGAATTTCTGGTGTTACTAAAAGATTGAACAAGCTAACAACATTCAAAATTTAATGTGTTTCTCTCAAAAACCTGAATTTTCTGATTTTTAAAAATCAGTCTCATAATATTCATCTGGAGTTGGGTAGCAGCTCTCTTTTCAAATGGGGCATATGCCCTCCATTTTGACAAAATCTTCATTAGCTCTGTTTTACTGATTTATATGTACATTTATTTTTAATGTAAAAAAAGACACATTCTAGAATACTGAATGGTGCTGAGCTTCAAAAGTTTCCTTTAATTTCACTTAACTACTTTTGTGCTTTTCCGTACTGAGCAAAACCTGTAGGACCCTAAAGTTAAAGGATTGAATAATATCTTAGCTACCGTATTTTTTGCTTCAGTGTTATGTTTTCCCAATTAGAAATATCTATAAGTATATACTATGATGACTTCTTAGAAGACACCAGGTTTCATTTCTTTAGACTGATTTTATAAAAGTTGACTTAGAGTAGGAATAAGATATGGAGGTAAAAACTATGAATGAGGCTTATACCAGAGTATACATAAAGCTGTTTTGTTTCAAGATTTCCTTCCCTTTCTAGCTTTCAGAGACTCCCTTCTCTCTCTCTCTCTCTCTCTCTCTCTCTCTCTCTCTCTCTCCCTCTCATTGTATATATGTGTGTGTGTGTGTGTGTGTGTGTGTGTGTGTGTGTGTGTATCTGTGTGTGTGGTAGTTAAGATTGTGGGAATTCACAGACCTGTATGGACTCTACGGTGAGCTTTCAGGTGAGAGCTTTTGGTGTATACTTTGTTGCATCCTGCAAAGTCACATTGGTGAATCCGTCTTTTCTTCAAATCAAGTGATTCTTCTCCATGCATTTGGGCCACTATTCTTGATCTAAGCAAAGAAAGAGAAATAAGGTCAAAGAATGATTTTAAATTGGAGAGTAAGGAAATTGACTCAAAGTGATGCCACATGATAACAATTTTTATTTTATGTTACTAAATGCTAAGCCCACAAAAGAGGAACTAGAGGAATTAATGTAAATGATTCTCTAAACTATGCAACTGCTAAATGCAGGGGGAGTGGTATAATGTGTCCCTAAGTGGTTGTATTCTAGAACACTATGAGCATTCTACTTTGATTAAAGTGTCACTCTTGTGCTTAAAGAAATGCATGTTTTATACAACATGCTTTTTAAACATGAGCAAAGTGTATTCACTTAATTTCAACACTGGAAGCTATAGTTGTTTTACATTCACATAGAGAAATATTACATGATTGTAACTGAAAATTTTAAAGATTTATCAAGCATAAAATATATGATCTACAGAAAATAACTCCACTATAACATGTACATATGTGCACATATGTCTATACATACTGGTATGTGAAGACAGTTAACACATATTTTGGCTTTTTAAAATTTTTCTTGTTTCTGATTAGTCCTATCTCTATGCATGCAAAAACATGCACACATACAAAGACTTAGAAAAAAAGCACTCACTCTTGCTGCAGTCCTTGTAGACTCTGTAAGGTTGAAGATCCACTTTCTATTAAACTCTCCTCACTGTCACTTGGAATGTCCAGTGGAGACATGGAGGTGGGGTCAACTTTCACTAAGAACAAAGAAAAGGAGAAGTATGGGCAAAAATGTATGTGCCTTTAATATAATTTTCTGGATATCCAGTTCAGCCCACATTAAGAAGTAACAGCAAGATATAGAAATAAGAAAAATAAATGCATGGAATGAAAAAGTACTTTAAAAATTTAGTATGGCAGGGAAGACAAATGACTTGAATACAGGTTTGCAGTAATCATTTTGTTATCACAAGAATGTGAATTTCCTAGAATATAATTTGGGTATAATTCATTTCTCTATCTCCAGTTGCCAAAGAAATGTCTCCTGAAAAGTTGGGTTCAATGTGTGTATTTTTGAACTCTTTCAATAGTTCCCTGGCTGTTGTAAAACAGTATCTACCATTAGCCCATGGCCCAATGGGGAAGCTGGCCAGCTGCTCAGTTATGGTGAAGAAGAGCCCAGTCCACTGCAGTGCCATTGCCACCTGGGGGGCTTCACCTAGCCAAAGGGAGCCAGTAAAGCCCCACACAGTAAAGCACAGTGCCTTTACACCTTTGGGGGAGTGCCAGAAAGCCATGCAAGTCCAGGAAAGTCCTGCCAAGTGTAGCATCCCTGCATCACTAAGGGAACCCCTGTGAGCCATGTGGGTCCAGTAAAGCCCTGCCCTGTGCATCATGTTTCAACATCAGGGAGCCCTGGTGAGCCACAAGTAGTCGGAAGCCCCATCTACTTTCTCTCCATCACTCTGGAAAGTTTGGTTTAGAGAAACCCAGGTGGGCAGCTCATCCCTATACTACACAATAGGCAGACAGTGTAGGAAATGCCTGGGATCCTATATCTGGCTCATTTGGAGGAACCCAGGAAGATGACAAGACAAAGGAGGAAAATGCAGTCCCAGACATCCAGCCTATCCAGAACAAGTCCAGGAGATATAGACATAGAAGAAATTGGAAGTTGTATACCTGATATATCTGACATGATAGCAAATGAAACAAAGAAACAACTCCATGAGGTTGCAAAGGAAATCAGATCAGAAATAATACATAAGGTAAAAAAGAAACAACTACCATAATGATAGAATTGCTTAGCATATCTAAAGAAGGCATAGATAAAAAATAAACATATGAAAATGATAGAAATCTTTAATGAACAATATAGGAAAGAGTAGAATACATGAAACAGATTCAAAGAGATGTCAGGGAAATTAAAAATTCCAGTGAAACCTGGAAAAACCACTTAAACAGAACTAAAGCTAGATTTTCAGACCTTGAAGACAGGATTGCAGCTAGCAAACATGAAAGGAAAGATCTCTTAAAAATAACAAAGAACCAGGAAATAAGAAATCAAAAGTTGCAATATGATGCAGAGAAAAATAATATAAACTTGATAGGTGGCAACAAAAAAGCAGGAGACAATACAAAGCACATAAAAAGACTTTTTGCAGAAATAATAGCAGAAAATGTCCCAAGCACAGAAAAAGAAGCTGACATACAGACAAGTGAGCCATACAGTACTTTATAACCAAAATAAATTTATAGCCAAACATATAGTAATCAAGATTCCAGAAGTTCAGCATAAGAACATAAAACTAAAAGTTGTTAGAGAAAAGAAACAGATCACCAACAAAGGATAGTCTATCAGAATCACAGAAGACTTCCCAACACAAACCACCAATCAAACAGTAGCTTGGAGGGAAGTATTTCAAGTTGTGAAAGAAAACAGCTTTCAATCCAGATTGACATACCCCACAAAATTACCTTTCAAAATTAATGGAGAAATAAGATATTTCTATGATGAAGAAAAAATGCCAAAATTAAAAAAACCACCAAATCAAACCTACAAAAATACCTAAAAATGCAACAACCGCCAAACCAAAACATACAAAAATACCTAAAAATACTCTAGAAAGATATAAAAATGACAAAATTCCAAGACCAACAATGGAATGAAACCACTAAGCATGGAAAGCATTTAAACATAAGAGAAAAGTGGGGAACCAACATTAATATAGCATGACAAACATAAGCCAATATGTATCACTTATAACCATCAATGTAAATGGCATCAATTCACCAATCAAACACACTAGCAGAATGGATCAAGAAACAAAATCTAACAATATGCTGCATACAAGAAACACGTTCAACTGAAATAAAAACTCATACATTGAAAGTCAAAGGATGGAAAATGATATTCCATGAAACAGAAACCCAGAAAAAATAAGGATAGCTATTCTATTTGCAAAAAAAAAAAATATGAACTTCAAAGCAAGAATGATAAAAAGAGATAAAAAAAGGTCACTACATACTTTTTAGGGGAAAACTTGAGAAAAAAGAGATAAAAATCATAAACGCATATGTATCAAGTATGGGAGCACACAACAGCATAAGAGAAACAGTAATAGACATAAAAAATCAAATAATAACACCATTAAAATAGGAGACCTTAACACTCCATTGTCACAAAGAGACAGCTCAACTAGGCAAAAAATCAAAATAAAAATTATTGAACTCGACCAAACTTGTGAACAAAGGCATATAGTAGATATTTAGAGAATGTTCCTACAAATGACATCAGAATACATATTCTTCTCAGCTGCACATGGGACATTTTCTAACGTAGAACATATAATAATTCATAAACCATGCTTAAGTAAATGCAAAGGAATTCAAATTATCAAATATATATTATATGACCATAGAGTAGTGAAATTACAAAAATGACAAAAGAAACTGCAAAAATGCTATAAACATATGGAAATTGAATAACACCCACCTAAACAATCAATGGGTCACAGAAAAAAAATCAAAGAAGAAACTATATACCATCTACAAACATACAAAATTCAATTACAACTTACTGAAACCTGTGGGATACAATGAAGGCAGTCCTCAGATGGGAATTTATAATAGTGATTTCTGACATCAGGAAAATGAAAAAGCCCAAATAAACAACCTAATGTTACACATGAAGCTTCTAGAAATAGAAGAGCCAATCAAGCCCAAAGCCAATGAAGGGAGGAAAATATAAAGATCATTGGAAAAATTAATGTAATTGAGACTATGAAAACAAAATAAAGAATTCAAGAATCAAAGAGTTGCTTCTTTTAAAGAATAAAAGAAGAATAAAAGTGATAAACCCCTACAAAACCTCACCAAAAAAGAAAAACTCAAATTCATTCACTAAGAAATGAAAACAATAAAATCACTACAAATATGGTTTAATTTTAGAAGATCATCAATACTTACTTTGAAAATCTAAACTTTTGTAGGATACAAAACAGAGAAGAAATGGACTGATTCCTAGAAACACGAATTACCAAGCTGTATCAAGAACCTTTAAGAACTCTGAATAACCCAATATTAGTTAGTCAAGTTGAAAACATTACAAACTTACCAACAAACCTCAGATCTTGATGTAGTCACAGCTGAATTCTACAAGAAATTTAGAGAAGACTTAACACCAATACATCTCAAATTCTTTTATTAAATGAAAAGGGAAGCAATTCTCCCTAACTGATTCCTGGAGGCAAGTAAAACTCAGATACCAAAATCAGAGAATGAACCAACTGAAAAAGAGAATTACAAGTCAAATCTTTCTAATGAACATAAATGCAAAAATGTTCAGTAAAATACTAGTAAAGAAAATGCAGAAAATCATCAAAAATACACCATGACAAAGTGAAATTCATCTCAGGAATTCAGGGTTGGTTCTACATACACAAATCAATAGATACAGTATACCACATCAACAGAGCCAAAGATAAAAATCACATGATCACCTCCATTAATGCAAAAAAAAAATTCCATAAAGTTGAACACTTGCTCATGATATAACCCTACAGAAAATTGGAATAAATGGCCTCTGCTTCAATATATTACAAAATAGCTACCAGCATCATACTAAATGAACAAAAACTGAAAATTTTCAACCAAAAATCAGGAACAAGATAATGAAGTTCACTATCACTATTCCTATTTAATATAGTTCTACAAACATTAATCAGAGTAGTTAGAAAAGAGAAAGAAATAAAAGGTATGTGGATAGGAAAGGAAAAAATGAAATTATTATGATTGAATCATGATATGATATTCTACATGGAAGACACAAAAACTCAATCAAAAGACTTCTACATTCAATAACCAAATTCAACAGTGTAGCTGGATACAAAGTCAACACTCAAGAACCAGTAGCATTCTTGTATATAAACAAGTGAGTACTGAGGGAAAATTAGGGAAACCACACCCTTCAAATTAGCATCCAAAATAATGAACTACTTAGAAATGAATCTAACAAAGAAAGAAAAGCTTTGTATATTCAAAATTACAGTACTGTGAAGAAAGAAATCAAAGAGAATTTCAGAAAATGGAAAATTATCCCTTGGTGGTAGATCAGAAGAACCAACTTTGTGAAAAAGAGTCATATGCCCAAAATTATTATACAGATTTAATGCAATTTCTATGAAAATATATTTGCTATGTTTCAATGATCTAGGGGAAGTATTTCTAAAATTCCTATAAAAACAGAAGAGACCATGAAGAGCAAAGCCAATCCTGGGAAACAAAGGCAAGGAAGGAGGCATGACAGTTCCCAACTTGAAATTTTACTACAAAGCTACTGTGACACAATCAGCATAGTACTGGGGAAAAACTCAGATGTGAGGATCAATAGAATAGACGAAAGATAGAAACAGGTTCAGTCATCTTACTTTTGACAAAGGGCCAAACATGTTTACTGGAAGATAGCCTTTTTAATAAATGGTGCTGGAAAAACTGGCCTTCCATAAGCCAAAACTTAAACAAGACCCTTTGCTATCACCATACATTCAACTAAATTAAAAATGGATCAAAAATCTAAACATTAAAACAGAAACACTAAATCTACTGAAAGACAAAGTAGAAATCTCAAAGACAGTGACAGTGTAGGCAGAGTGTTTATGAACAAAACTGAAATCCATAGAAAATACTTCAAAAAATCAACTGAGATCTCATCTTATTAAAAAGATTTTGCATATTAAAAACATCACTAACAGAGTGA